TTCTCATCTCTCCCTATTCCTCACTCATTAAGAACCAGTCAAACCTTTGCAGTATTTAACCTAGATTGTAAAAAACTTAAGGTAAACAAACTAGGTATAATTTGTGATATTAGAGAAATATTTAGTGGATACAACATTTTCTTAATTTGAAATTTAGCAACATAGCTCTGTTTCTATTCAAATTTTAATATTTACCTTTTAATTCATTTTTGCAAATGAACCTAAATGTGTCCGTTGTTATTTTCACTTCATGCTTCCAGAAGAAACTAAAACAAGCAACGGAGACCTGTCCGACAGCACTGTGTCTGCGGAGCCTGTTGTGAAATGATACCAATGGTATGCATTGCCGTAAGAAATGAGCAGAATTGTGTTAATGCTATTGTCAGTCAAATGGATGTTAATAAGCTATTGATGAATTGTTTCCTGGGTCAATCTCTAGAAAATATTTTGATGTTGGAACTTTTTAAGGCAGTGCTCTAAAGCTAGGTCCATTCTTCTTCCAAAAACTCTACTTTGGATAGGTTGAGAATGAAATTTAAAATTGGATTTTAGCTTGGAGGATGTGCCTAAGAACAGGTATTTGAAGTGAAGTTATAGAAGGGCAAATCCAAATTCCTAAACTGCCACCTCAGATCTCTTGTAATCTACATGAGTATTTATACTTTGTATTTCTAAAAGTCTTCGATGCATATTTATTTTAAGTCATTGGACATTCCTTCCATATACCATGTATAGCCAGTAAATACATATTTTTTAAAAAAAGGAATTGAGCCTGAAATTCATGAAGCATACGCACCATTATTATAAAAGGAATATATGAAGATGACTTGGATACTAGAGGTGAGGCACAAGTGTGCTGTGAACCCTTTATGTACAGTATAAACCGATGATTATTCCTTCATTGTTAATTTCATGTGACTCACAGAGCTGCTGATGTCTTTGGTGAGACGTTTTATCCTAGTTTACATTGCTTTGGGAACATTTAACCTCCAACAACTGCTTTAAATTTAAGATTTACTTAATACTCAACATGAAAGAAAATCCAGACAAAGCCATATAGTCCCGCTTGAAGCTTCACTTCTGGTGGAAGGCTACTACGAACGATATCGGAGAATATTGATGAATTCTTATTTCTACATCCAAACTCAGGTTTCTTCACATTAAGGTTCAATTGAAATCTTGGTGATGGTTTGGGCAGACTTTTTCTTTAACACAAGTATAATCTCATTGTACTGTGCAGGCTTTTAAAAAATTACCACTGTGAGAACAAAGTTCTAATAAATTAAATCATTAACTGGTTTAAAAAATACAGAAAGATTTTTGAGTAAATTTAGTTTCTCGAGAGCTGCTAGCTTTATTTTTGTGAAGAGTATGCAAGCTAAATGGTTAATCATGGCCTATAATCTTTTAATACAACGAAAAAAATTTAAAACTTTAAATATAATACAAACATTATTCTGGGAAACTTGATTTTTCCATTGCATTTGCCTGCTAAGCATTTCTTTGAATAGATCCTGCAAGTAATTCTAACGTTGTTCTTTGATTTCCAGCTTTTAGAATGGGTGTACAATGCCCTATCTGTAGTCACTGATTAGATAGGGTAACTTTCCCAGCCCAAGATAAATAAGTTCACTGTTGACTTAAAGTTGGAAGAAACAGACTATGTAGGAAATGTTTTTTGTTTATTATGTAAACATGACTTGCAGAATTAAGAACAATGGGTGGATTAAAGGCATTTAATATTTGTAATTCATTCTAACTGTAGAAATGGCCCTAAAGCATGCTGCATAATTAATAATTTATATTTCCATTATAGTAAATGTTTTTATTAATGATCTTGTATTTTATTGTATCAAATTCGTCACCATTTCATAGCAAGAGTTTTTTTTTTTTCTCTAACTTTCTTAAAAGCATCCCCTTTAATAAGGAATAGAAGTTGTGATTAGAAGAGAATCAGATGTCTCCATTCATACCACTATACATGTAAATTCATTGTTTTATCAAGACTAGATAAGGTTCACATGCTGACTTCCTGGATATCTACAATGGAGAAGAAAGTGATAGGTTTGTATTTTACCTTTAGTTCAAAATAATGTCACTGCAGCCTGGACAAATTATTAAAAAATTCATGTATTTGCAATAAAATCTCTGAAAAGGTGAAGCATATTTATTGCTATTAAACTTCAGAGCTACAGAGCTGGAGTGTATTCACACCTAAATTCCTATACACATTTGGATGATGATTTTTTTCTTGCTAAAATATTTTCATTTTTTCAGACATACTATAATTTAAAAATTAATGTGAGGATTTGTTTACAAAAAACTTGATGTTCAAATTCTCAGGAATTAAGGACTAACCATAACATTGTCAGTTCTAATTGAAATTTGTAAAAGATGGTTTGTTACATCACTTGTGTGGGGCTTCCTGCTCTCCCCCATTCTAAGAGTAGAATACAGTATGTATACTCAAACATCAATAAATGTAATTTCAAAAATTTCCTTTCCCTGGATCTTTATGTTCAAAATGAATGTCTTAAACCAGTAGTTTTTAACCTTTTTGGGGTCTCCTTTTATTTAATAAAATATATGGAATCTCTCTTTTAAAAAAAAAAATGCCTGCATGCACATAGGCGACAAATTTCAAGTACAGAAGTAGGGGCATTGGCTCCCCTCCATTTTCACAGATGAAGGATTTTTCTTTCCTTTATAAATTCTTGATCCTACAATTGTTAGTTTCAGATAAAAAGAACTTGCATGAATTTTTTATTTCAAATCCTAATTCAGAGAAGGAATCTAATTTGCAGTGTTTAATATGTTAGAAATAACTATACTGCTCTTTGCAAACATGAGTTGAAATGAAATACTACTCTGGGGAAATTGTTTTTGGTTAAAGGCCTAAGTGTGGTTGCTGCACCTTCTTTTAGGTAAGAAATTTGTAAGATGGTGGGAAAGATGACACCATCACATACATCGTCATCATGTTACTCTTTTATGCTGATTTGCTAAATGAAAAAGTAGCAATTTTAATAATTTTAGCATGGTTCCTTTCCAGCTGCATATTGCAGAAGAGTTTCAGACTGGTAGTATTCCTTTCTTTAGTGTAGTTTTAATGCTGCAGTTTTAACAAAGGTTTTTCAGTGTTAAGAACAAGTTAATAGGCTGTCAAAGATTTCAAATAAAAAGGAATCCAGAATAAGTGGAAATCTGTAGAGATGCAGTGAACTCCGATTGTGATGGCAAAGATAGAATTCAGTTTACATAAAAGTTTTTATATATAATATTTGGATATTTTCCCCTACTTCAGTAGTTTGGTGCTCCTTTACCACCTCATTCACCAGATACCTCCAGTTCTCATTGTTAATTAGTTGCTGTCAAGTTGGCTCTGACTCAGGTACAACAGAATGAGACATTGCCAGGTGCTGCACCATCTTCATGATCATGGGTATGTTTGGGCGTATTGTTGTTGCCATTGTGTAATCCATCTCATTGAGGATTTCCCTTGTTTTTGCTGGCCCTCCATTTTATCAGACATGTTGTCCTTCTTAGCAATTGGTCTTTCCTTGTGAGGCCCTGCACTATATTGAACAATATTCTGTTGTGATCCATATGGTTTCCATTGGCTGGTTTTTGGAAGTAGATCACCAGGCCTTTCTTCCTATCCTTAGTCTGGACTCTCTACTGAAACCTGTCCACCATGGGTGACCCTGCTGGTATTTGAAATACCGGTGGCATAGCTTCCAGCATCATAGCAACTTGCAAGCCACCACGGTATGACAAACTGACAGTTCTCATGAGTGGAGATATATTCAGGACTGTACCTGTCTATGCCAAATCAATATTAAAATATTTAATCTTTTCATAAATCTGCACAAAAGGTAACAAAACTAAAGATGCACTTTAAGTTGATGTAACTACTAAGTATCAGAAAATCTTCAAACTTTAATGTATTGAGAAACTTTTGGAGACTGTTTTGTCTTTGACCTTCTCATGAGGCAGTATATATAGCTCGTAGTGGTTAAAAGCACAGATTGTGGAGCCAGACTGTCTGATCGCAGTCCTGATTTGCTGCTTACAAGCAGGTTACTTCAATTCTGTGCTTCATTTCCTCAGGCATAAAATGGGGATAATGTACAAGTATGTAGCTCCTAGACAGTTTGAGGATTTAGTTAAATTGTGTAAAGCACTTTTAGGAAATGGTAACTGCTGTGTTAGCTATTACTATGATTACTCTCATAGGTAGAAATGCATTTGGCATATAAGAGTTAGCTGTTTTTATTACTCTCTTAGATGGGAAAGTTTGAAAATAAACAGTCTCTATTTGACTTTGAGTGGGTCTCATAAGAACGATTCCTTTTTAAATGGCTTACCTAAGTGTGGACAACATAAGGAACGTCCTGCTCTTCCCTAAAGGTAGTCTGACAGGGATATGAAATAAACCAGGGACAACACTGGGAAATGAAAATTGGTGAGGATAGCTGGCTTCTTAAAAGGTCCCATTTTCCATCCCCTCCCACTTTCATTCATATGGCACTGGGTAATTTTTCAGAGTGCTTTAATATGCATCAGAACACACTTCAGTAAGTTGAGGGAAAGGGCAAGGCACCCAGTGTTTCTTAATTTAAAAATTACATACATGCAAAAGAGTATATAATATGTATGTACTGTTTTAAGTGTAAAAATAGAAGCACACCACATGGGTTGAGAGTGAGCCTGTCACCACCACCTTGGAAGCTCCCACTGTCCCTCCTCCCATATCTCAGCTCCCTCTCCACCCAAAGAAACCACGAGGTGCAATGTTGTGGTAACCATTCTCTTGCTTTTCTCTAGTTTTACAACCTGTCTGTATTTTCTCAAATAATGTGGTTTGCATGTTTTTTTGTTTTAAACTTAATATAAATGGAACCTTACTGTATGTGTTTGACTTCTTTCATTCCATGTTGTTTTAAAAATTCATCCCTGTTCATACATATAGCTGTAGTTAATATATATTTACTTCTCTAGTATTCCTTTATATGAATACATAGCAGTTTTATCTATTCTACTGTTGATGCTATTTGGGTTATTTGCAAATTTGCGATGCTATGAGCAGTGCTCGTGAGGAACCTGTACATAGATCAAGAGGCAGTCGTTTGAACAGAACAAGGGAATACTGCGTGGTTTAAAGTCAGAAAAGGTGTACGTCAGAGTTGTAACCTTTAACCATACTTATTCAGTCTGTGCTGAGCAAATAATCCGAGAAGCAGGACTATATGAAGAAGAACGGGCATCAGGATTGGAGGAAGACTTATTAACAAGCTGCGTTTTGCAGATGACACAACCTTCCTTGCTGAAAGTGAAGAGGACTTGAAGCACTTACTGATGAAGATCAAAGACTATAGCCTTCATATGGATTACACCTCAACATAAAGAAAACAAAAATCCTCACAACTGGACCAGTAAGCAACATCATGATAAACGGAGAAACGATTGAAGTTGTCAGGGATTTCCTTTTACTTGGATCCATAATCAACACCCATGGAAGCAGCAGTCAAGAAATCAAAAGATGCATTGCATTGGGCAAATCTGCAAAGATTTCTTTAAAGTGTTAAAAAGATGTCACCTTGAAGACTAAGGCGCACCTGACCCAAGCCATGGTGTTTTCAGTCGCCTCATATGCATGGGAAAGCTGGACAATGAATAAGGAAGACCGAAGAATTGACGCCTTTGAATTGTGGTGTTGGCGAAGAATATTGAATATACCATGGACTTGCCAAAAGAATGAACAAATCTGTCTTGGAAGAAGTACAATCAGAATGCACCTTAGAGGCAAGGATGGCGAGACTTCATCTCACGTACTTTGGACATGTTATCAGGAGGGACCAGTCCTGGAGAAGGACATCAAGCTTGGTAGAGTGTCAGTGAAAAAGAGAAAGACCTTCAATGAGATGGACTGGCACTGTGGCTGCAACAGTGGACTCAAGCATAACAAGGATTATGGGGATGGTGTAGGACCAGGCAGTGATTCGTTTTGTTTTGCATAGGGTCGCTGTGAATCGGAACCGACTCCACTGCACCTAAGAACAATGAGCAGTGCTGCTGTAATCCTTATTGTGTGTTTCTGGGTGTATGTGTTATGAGTTTCTCCAGGGCATGTACCTACTAGTGAAACTGCTAGGTGGTCACGCAGGTGCACTTTTGGGTTACTAGATAATGCCAAACTGTTCTCTTCCCCAGCAGTGGATCAGACTCCTCACTGTCCCATCCCCAGCAACACCTGGCACTGACTGACATTATAATTTTTGAAGTCTGGTAAATAAAAAGTAGTACCTCAGTGTAGTTTTAATTGCATTTCTCTGACTACTGTATGAGATTGAGAGTATTTGTATGCTTAGGAGCCCTGGTATTTTCTATTCTCTGAAGTGCTTTCATGACTTTTTCTATTTTTTTTTTCTTTTCTGCTAATGATAGGACTATTTCATATATTTTGTATACTGATTTGTTGGTTACATGCGATTGTCAATATTCTTTCAGTTAACTTTTCATTCTGAATGGTGTCTTTTGATGAAAGAACTTTATTTTGTATATACTTTGTATCTTATTTCAGCCACACATTCTTAATAGTACTTCTTAG